AATTTCTTTCCACAAATTACTAATTCGTGGCCACATTTGATTAATTTGTTCCCACATTTTAGGTGAATTGTGGGCACGTTGTACTACTTTGTTCCCTAAAATGAGGGAACAAATTAATAAGTCAAGAGAACAAATTAGTAAATCATGGAAACAAAATCCTAATTTATGGATATATTGTTTTTTATTCCTGCATGTCATGTGCGAGGCTCCATAATTTATGATGGATTCTTGTCCATAAAATTTTAGTAAGTAAAATAAATAAATAAAACTAAAAATTGGCCACCATAAAAGTGGCCCACGATTGTGAGCAAAACATTTTTCTTAGAATGTTTTTTAAAAGACTCATTTGATATATTTTATTTGTTTATGAATTAGACTGGTTTGATTCTTCTGTTTTCTGACTCAATGATTCAGTCGCTTACAAACTCACTGAAGGGGAAGCTTTTCAGAGAATGATGGCTTAATTTCTGTTTTTCCCACAAAGCTCTCATATGGCGTCAGAAGTGTTGGAATATAAAGCACAAGTCATATGGACCACTCATGAAACTTTTATGATGTATTTGTGTCTTAAATGAAGGTTTTAAAGCTCATGTCCCCATTCATTTTCATGGAAAAGAGCGGTCAGGATATTCTTCAAAAATTCACCTTTTTCATTCCACACAAGAAAGAAGGTCATACATGTTTGGAACGATTCTAAGAACCACAGCATGTGTGTGTCCGAGGAAAACACATGCGTTATCATATGGAGCCACTGTAAATGATTCCTTTAAAATGTATCAGAGTCACAAGAGCTCAAATGCATTTTACTAAATATAACCGGGTAGATTGGTGTGTGTGGATGACTCTGACACATTGGCTATACCTCAGATGACCCCTGCGATTCGCTCGGCTGCAAAGTGAGAGGCAGACGGGCTAATCTAGCAAAGTAAGGAAGGGTCTGCTTAATAATTAACGCAACAAGAGATACATTGCTCTTGTTTAACCACTGTTTATTCTGTGGACCAGATCGCTGAAGTCACAACGTGTTCCCGGTGAGTAATTCCACTGTGCCCTCACCCAAACTGTAAACGCAAGACACTTCTTGTGCAGCGAGATGAGCGCGATGGAAGACTTTTAGGAAATCTGACGTCATAAGCACATAAGACAGATGGACGAGCGGTCGCCCCTCAGGCCAAAATCATTTAAAGGCAAATCGCTTCTATTCCGGTCCCAAATAAAACCCCTTTAATAACATTTTATTTTTGCTCTGCGAAGGATGCGATAAAGCGCTTCTCCGTCAGGAGGGGAGAAGTGGAAAAGCAAGCTGCGATGTGCTGGCCTGCTTTCCAGCCTGCCCGCCAGTGTGTCGGTCCTGAGACACTAGTGAGTTTTATTTTAGGAGGCTTTTAAGTAGGTCAGCTCTCTAGTAGGTCTCGTCTATGACAGCACAGCGGCTGAGTGTAAACAACAGCACATGATGTTGTTTGTCTCTCGCTCTGTCCTGGCACCAAATGCCACCAGCTTCCCCCCTTCGGCCGGCCCCTGTCCCACGGGTCTCCTGCAATCCTCTTTTCCATTTGCAACCCTAAAAACCTGAAAAAACCAGGCCGTTCACCTCTGGCATTCTTACATATGCTAGCATTCGAAGACAGTCGTGTTGCTTAAAGCCAGAGTCAGAATTAATACTCAAATGCAAGAAAAAACTGTCTAGTAAAGATAAAATTAACTCATCAGATGGCTGTATAATGCTATGATGAACTGTAACATGGTTCTGACCCTTGCATAAGTAACTGACATGAGTATTTAACAATTCAAATCCAACCATCTACAAAACATTATGTACAATATATCAGTACCTTGTTGGTTGTCAGGCAATATAAGATATTTATTATTATTATTATTATTTAATTTATCAGTCAATTAGATACTTAATTCTCCTTTATATTACATTTTAGCTGTAATCTAACACTCAAAGTTAATGTTTAAAAACACAAATAATTTAATTAAGCATTCATACTGATTTTATTGTTTATTTTTTAATTTAAGAAAAATAGTATAGAATTTTATTAGTGGCCACTTATTACTGTTAATAAAATAAAAAAGAAGGAAAAAGAGCAGAATTTACCCTCTATTATATATATATATATAATTAAAATGAATCATCAGAAGTTTATATAAAATGCCTGGTTTTTATGTTTCTTTGGAAAATAGAAAATAGAAAAAAAAATGACAGAACAGAACAAAGGGCACTTGAAACATGTTTTTCAAAGCTACTTTTAAATATGTAATTAATTTGATTAAAAACTTGAATCAGTTTATAGCCCTATATATTTTTTGAAAAAATAAATAATGTGAAAATAGTTTCATTGCAGGTAATAATAATAATAATAATAATAATAATAATCTATCATTTGGTACATTTCTCAATTCCCATGCCATAGGCCTAGAAATTAATTTTGTTCCCAAAAAGGCTGCTTCAAATAAAAACAAGGCCCTAGTTTTTCTTCACCGTCTGAGTTTTCACACAGGAAGGCTATCTTGGCTCCATCGCATATTGTGCAGAAATTTAAAATTCTTGCTTGGTTAAGTCCAGAAAATATATGTAAGTGATGACAACATCTCTCACTTTGCTCTGAGTGAGTGATGGCTGGAGCCCAGCCGTAAAAAGGTTTCTCAACGTGGATGAGGTATGTCCTTCCCTCCTCCCCACTAAATGTGCTGCCAAACTGAAACGGAGAATGGGATGTTTACAAGTTTGGGAGAGAAGGTATAAAATTCTGGGCATCGTTAACACCACCTCTATGTCGACATGCATTAAGTATTTATACAGTGTGTGTCACAGCGAGTTACAGTTACATGCCAACGTTTTAGAGAGGGTTATCGTCTTTCTCCCTGCGGAACACAGGCGACAGATATTGCACCCTCATTGTAGTAGCAACATACCCTACTGTAAAAAATAATACAAATATATTACAGAGTCCTGATTCGGATCCAATAGAAATTCAGAGATTTTATGAGCTGGCTGCCATGGAAACATTTAGCACCTCAAATCAACGCAGATGACAAAAGTATGGCACCTTGTTTTAATTAGGACTCAACCTTTATATAGACTCAACATGTGGATCATTAGCCCCATGAAACGCTTTTATACCAAGAGAGCAAATTAATTAGTGCAGTCTGGAATACCTGTGACAGACTGTATCCTCTGACGGCAGTCTCATCAGCCAATAAGTAACAGAAGTACAGGTAGAAAATAATGGTTATATAGGACGAAGTATAGAGATTAGAGCACTGTTATTGGACTGAAGTGGCCATGAAAGTGTTTGGACACACTTGAAATGTCAATGAATTAGATAAAGTATAAAAACAAATGATGTTCCAGTGTGTCTCCAATCTAACTTCACTTTACTTACAGTAATGTGTCTATTTTTTATAATTTCAACTCTAATAAACTTCTTTTTGTGAAATATTTTGATTGAAGTGTTGAAGTGTGCTTGAGTTATCTTCCTGTACCATAAATGAATGGCACTTCATTTATTGAAGTATCATTACACATCAATCACACATTTTTTTTCCTGGAATACCTGTGACAGACTGTATCCTCTGACGGCAGTCTCATCAGCCAATAAGTAACAGAAGTACAGGTAGAAAATAATGGTTATATAGGACGAAGTATAGAGATTAGAGCACTGTTATTGGACTGAAGTGGCCATGAAAGTGTTTGGACACACTTGAAATGTCAATGAATTAGATAAAGTATAAAAACAAATGATGTTCCAGTGTGTCTCCAATCTAACTTCACTTTACTTACAGTAATGTGTCTATTTTTTATAATTTCAACTCTAATAAACTTCTTTTTGTGAAATATTTTGATTGAAGTGTTGAAGTGTGCTTGAGTTATCTTCCTGTACCATAAATGAATGGCACTTCATTTATTGAAGTATCATTACACATCAATCACACATTTTTTTTCCCAAGTCTGAATAGCTTTCTGTGTAGAATAGACTGAAAATTAAGTCATTATTCCCTCCAGTGAGCAGTTAACCTAAGAACTGCTGTGACCTGATCACTTATTCAGTGAGATGAACTCATGAACGAATCAGTTCAATACTTGAATTAATAGTTTTAGCCTGATTTGTGAACCGAATCAGCTGGTTCATTGAAACTAGATCAAAAGAATGATTTGTTCGTATTATCCAGCTCTCAAATTCAACTCACTGAATCAAAGATGCAATTGCAGTGGTTCTTGAGTTAACAGCTCACTGGAGGGGAAGATGACTTGATCATTTCTGGCTGTTCTTCACACAAAGCTATCACATGGCTTCTGAAGACTTGTAACATAACACATGAAAAAACAACAGGTTAAGTAAACAATGACAGAATTTTCATTTTCATTAGACTATAGTTGAACGCCTACGTACATGTTTCAATGTGTCCTGACAGCGCACACTCAGGTATGTAGCAACAAATACAACTTTAGACTCAGCATATCATCCCATGTCAACCCTTATCAGAGCACAGTATTTACCTCACCTAAAATATGATTATTAAAATGTCTGTAGTACCACTGAAACCCAACCTTGCAGTCATCAGATGTCAGTAAATATGAATATTTGACAGGAGGGTGGCAGCTGAATGCTGTTGGCGTGTTAATGATCGTGCCAGAGCGTCGATGACTCACAGGCTCTGGTAACTCAGTACAGTCACTCTAACAAATGTACATGCCATGTTTAGACAAAGTGATGGAGATTGGTGAAACATGGCACTGCTGCTGTGCCAAAGCGGTGTGCCACCCTGCCCTGTAACAGCACATATTATTGGCTGAAATTTTAGAGGGCACCGAAACCTTCCCTGCTGAATTATAGAAGACCATCAGAATGGAGTTTTGATAGGGTCATAAACATGATTGCTACTGGTACATGCATGACGCATCTCCACTTTACTGTTGTTTTTTCCACTGTGGTTAACTAAGGTGATTTAGCGAAGTGGTTTGCAGTTAGATGAGGCAAGAAGGGTCCTACCTGTGTGAGTCTGCCGATGGGCTTCCAGGGCGTCTTCCTTGGAAAACTGAGCGCCACACTGATCACATACTAGTTCTTTTGGTCCAGCTGGAAGAAAGAAGAGTACAATAAAAGTAAATATCAGTCGGCTGATAGCTTAATTAGGAACAACAATTTTAGTTGTATAGTAAAAGTTAGAATTATTATTATTAGTAGTAGTGTTTAGTATTATTAGTAGAAGTCATTTTAGTGTGTTTGTGTGTTTGTATATATCGGGGCTGATCAAGCATTTTTTTTACTGATCGGTATCAGCTCTCCTAAGCCCGAGCCTTATTTTATGTCAGCTTTTGTTTTTCTTGATTTTCTGTGTGTGTTTTTTTGTTGTTGTTGTTTGATTTTTATTTTATTTTATTTTGGGGTTTTACCATGTTTAAGTTGTCCGGTTTAATTGTGTTTATTGTTGTGTTTATTGCTGTGTCCTGCTTTGTTGTGCTATAGCATACAGACAAAGTTTATATACTTAAAAGTACAGTTATGAACGACAAGGCTAAAATATTTGTAGCTGTGTCTCATCTGCTCAGCGTGTTTCTTTTGTATTTGAACTGTGCGACTTGGATGCGGTGTCTGTCAAAAATAGACTAGGCGCCTATCTTTAGCGAAGCAGCACGGGGAGCAACATCTGGGATGCTTCTGAAACTTGCCGCGGCGTGGCTGGTATAAACACAAGCATTGACTAGAGTGGCTGCGATCAGCTCCGGTGGATGTGTCGGAGCCGTAATGCGCCGCAGACGTGTGCAGTGTAAATAAGGGTTCTGTTCTAGTGCGTCACCTGCATGTTTGAGCTTCCGTGTTCAGTGTATTTGATGCACACATTTGTAACAATAACTCATTCATTTATCGTTTACTTTTATTTGCCATCAGACTATCTGAGACGTCGTTGTCATAAGGCGTTGCTGTGGGTTGCGTCTTGATTCGGACTTGACTGACAGACTGGTCGTGAGCTTCATGCTTTCTAACCTTACCTCCACTTTATGTTGCAATTATTCTGCTTATTGTGCATATAAAATACAAGAAGTTTAGATCAGTAGTCACATATTAATAATTGTAACTACACAGTCTGTTTACAATGTCTACCATCGTAGCATGTTTACATCTGCCAATATCTGTATACAATGTGTGCATATATACAGTATACTTGGAGAAAGTGTATCTTGATATATATATACATACATCATACATATTACTTTTACTCTCCGCACAAGTCTGTATACAGTACATTGAATTGACTTTAATAACTTTAATCTACTTGAAGTGTGCAACAAACATATATTTCTATAGTAATATACAAGTATCGGATTGGGACTCGGTATCGGCAGATACTCGATATTCAATTACTCGGATCAGATGGGGGGGGGCACAAAAATCCTGATCAGGACATCCCTAATATATAATTGATTACATAAATAAAATATAAATATTAGGTGAAAAACAAACTAAAAAAAAACCTTCGCAACTACCTGAAATAAGTTGAAGTACTACAGTTACTAAAACTGATGAAAAGCATTATTATTATTATTATTATTATTATTATTATTATAGGACTCGGTATCGGCAGATACTCGATATTCAATTACTCGGATCAGATGGGGGGGGGCACAAAAATCCTGATCAGGACATCCCTAATATATAATTGATTACATAAATAAAATATAAATATTAGGTGAAAAACAAACTAAAAAAAAACCTTCGCAACTACCTGAAATAAGTTGAAGTACTACAGTTACTAAAACTGATGAAAAGCATTATTATTATTATTATTATTATTATTATTATTATTATTATTATTATAGTATTTATTCATATTTTAAATTAGCCTTTATTTTTTCAGGTTTCTTTTTTCAGGTTTTAGTAATTTTGTTGTGCATTTGTCATTTTTATTATAATATTTATATTTATTTTTATTTCAGTTTTAGTTTTAGTACTTCAATTTAAACTTATATCAGTTAGTTGCCAAGGTTTAAGTTTCTCACCTAATAATTATATTTTATTTCAGCTTTATTTCAATTACCGAAAAAGATTATGAACAGTTTTAATTTTAATTAACAATAATTACATTACATGGTTGAAGTGATAATCTGACCTTCACTGATATAGTAACTGTAATTCAAATCAAATATCCTCAAGAAAATGCATGTTATATCTTCATAAATCTAGCATGCCAGAAATTTCGAAATTTTTTCATAACATATGTGGAATATTCCCCCAATTAAGCCATTAACACATTAATATAAGGAACAAAATCATGAATTCGCAAATCTATAATGTAGAATTAAGAACATATTGCATTATAAACCTGTACACTGAACAAATGTCCTTGATAGAAAGCACTATAAGGACATAGTGTTGATCTGTCAAGTATAGCATACTTTTTTTAAGTGTATGTTTAGAAAATCAAATTGATACCCATAAATTGAACTGAAAAGAAAACAGAAACGCCAAAGGCTGAATTTTTGTTATTTCAAAGTATGAGTTGTTTTTGACATTAAACATCATTAATTTTCCCCCACACACATCAGCAGGGTAAAATACTGTCCCTTGACAGAATCAAAGAGATGTTCTTATCTACAAGAGCTGGCAGCTTTCTCTTGTCTTGTCTTGATAAAAGACCGTAAACCATAAGCTGAGGCAGAACAGACAGCAATATGTCCTAAAGGATATTAAAGCGCTTTGTATCTTCAGACTGATTTATGACATGTACAATGAGTCTCTTCTGACAAATAACACACTATACCCATTTTTTGTGTTCATAGAGATAACAGTAATAAATGATAATCATATAACAGGAAAGGTCATATCAGGTTGACGGACCCTCAGGCAGGTACAGCTCAAGTTTTCCTGTAAAAGCAGATGATTTTGATCAACCATAATTCATTTATCAACGCTGAGGTTGTTTCTTCAGGGTGAATCTCACAAAGCCTGTCAAGCCGTTACATTACATTAAAATATACTACTAGTTAAAAGTTTGGGGTCAGTAATATTTGAAGAGTTCCAATGCAAAAGCCTCTAAAAGCCATCTTGGTCAAAAATTAGATAACGATACTGAGTGAATGCTCTCCACACATAGTATATGTTCATCAAGTACTTTCACTTCATATGCACTAAATCCCAGCCTCAACCCATTCAAAAGTACCAGTACTTACATAGAAACCTATACATAGTAGCCAGAAATAAATGCTAATTTTAAAGAAAAACGTCAGACGTACTTAGAGGCTTTTGCATCTGAACTCTTCATTTTTTATATATTTTTGAAAGAAATCTCTTATGCTCACCAAGGCTGCATTTATTTGATTAAAACAACAGTAAAAACAGTAATATTGTGAAATATTATGGCAATTTAAAATAACTGTTTATTTTATTTTATTTTAATACATTTTAAAATGTAATTTATTCCTGTGAACCATTACTTTTGTCTTCAGTGTGAACTGAAAGTTCAAAAGAGCAGCATTTATTCGAAACAGGAATCTTTTGTAACATTATAAATGCAGTTAAGGCCCAAGTTAATTAAAATATAAATATAATAAATACAATATACATAATATGTAATACATATTTTACTCTTGAATCTGTTTGTAATTATGATTCTCATTAGATTCTAATTACTGTATTACAAAAAATCACCTTGTCTGGACATAATTAATTACTGGGGGCCGTACATCATGCACTACCATTACGTATAAATAAATTTAAATAGTGCATCATTGTTTTTTTTCACATTACTGAGAATGAGAATTTTTCACATTAAGATAATGAGAAGGGGTAGGGGCTGCTTAATTATTCTGAAAATAATGTCACAACGCAAAAAAATCTTAATGGTACTAAAAATAGGCTATGCAAATTCACACCATTAAGACATCATTAAACATGAATTACCTGCACAAATGGAAACACATATACAAGGTGTACAAACGCACACACACACACAAAGAAAGAAAAGAATAATTTAACCCAGTTGCAACCAGCAATCCTTAATAACTGGACTAAATAACTGTTCTGATGGCCATCAACCGCCTGAGGGAATCCATCTATACATAGAAACCTATACATAGTAGCCAGAAATAAATGCTAATTTTAAAGAAAAACGTCAGACGTACTTAGAGGCTTTTGCATCTGAACTCTTCATTTTTTATATATTTTTGAAAGAAATCTCTTATGCTCACCAAGGCTGCATTTATTTGATTAAAACAACAGTAAAAACAGTAATATTGTGAAATATTATGGCAATTTAAAATAACTGTTTATTTTATTTTATTTTAATACATTTTAAAATGTAATTTATTCCTGTGAACCATTACTTTTGTCTTCAGTGTGAACTGAAAGTTCAAAAGAGCAGCATTTATTCGAAACAGGAATCTTTTGTAACATTATAAATGCAGTTAAGGCCCAAGTTAATTAAAATATAAATATAATAAATACAATATACATAATATGTAATACATATTTTACTCTTGAATCTGTTTGTAATTATGATTCTCATTAGATTCTAATTACTGTATTACAAAAAATCACCTTGTCTGGACATAATTAATTACTGGGGGCCGTACATCATGCACTACCATTACGTATAAATAAATTTAAATAGTGCATCATTGTTTTTTTTCACATTACTGAGAATGAGAATTTTTCACATTAAGATAATGAGAAGGGGTAGGGGCTGCTTAATTATTCTGAAAATAATGTCACAACGCAAAAAAATCTTAATGGTACTAAAAATAGGCTATGCAAATTCACACCATTAACTCTGACTCAGAAAAAAAAAAATCTATAAAATCCAAATGTATATTGACCTTCTGCTCATCAAGTATCTATTTTCACTCAGCGGGCCTAAAATGGCTTTATTATGACTCATTAAAGCACCCACAAGCTTCGTGAAGTCAGCCAAAATTAGCCTCTTTCCACATACACTTTCTTCTCATTCCTTCTGGACGACAACCAAAGCCCTTTAAAGTTTAAAAAATGCACTCATTTACAGAATCATTACAAACCACACTCAAAAATACTTTGATGGTGTGACTCATCAGCGCCAGCGTAAATTGCGCCTGTGAGAACAT